GTTTAGGGCACACATGTGCGCTAAGCCTGCCACGTCTCAGGAGCCAGGGTATGAACTGCCATTGGCCTTGTGGGATCCAGCTCCCTTAACCACTAGGCTATGGGACAAGCCCTGATTGTCATAGTTTTGTTTTATAGAAAAAGAAACCAAATATCAGAAAGCATGAATAACTTAAGCAAGTCACAGAAAGTAAAAGTAGAGCCTGCATGTTGCAGGGCTTTTTGATTTAATGTCCAGGGCTTTTGCCCATTTGATCCCAAGGCGTCTGTTTTAGGTGTTCTCAGGTGGACACTGAGGTAAGGGTTTTGCATGTATGTGTGTTTGCATGTATTTCCAGATAAATAAAGGGTACTTTTTCCATTTTACTGGATATGCAGAAGTGTTGAGATCAAGGATAATATTGTATCATAACGCACTTGTGTTCTCATTAGCTTTACACATTACATGTTAATAACAGAAAATATCTATAATCAAATACATCAAAGAGTCTTTTGGTGAAACCTTGGATATCACTTTTCTTCTGAGCTTATAAACAGCATAATTTTCTGTGCATCATAAATATATATATATGTACATATACACACACACACACACACACATATATATATTCCTTGCTAACAACTATTAATCATGTATTCCATTAACAACCACTCTAAAAAATCTTAAACCTCAGCTAATAGAATATATGCAGGATGATGGCTTTTATATGAATAACTAAATTCAATGTGTTTTAATTCAAGGGAGGGAGATCCATATTATAACTAAGTGCATTGCTTTGAAACAAATGTGAGATTACAGAGAAAAGAGATCTCATACCATAGGGCAACTAAGAAATATCAGATATGAGATTTGAGATGATTTTCTATTGCATATCGAGTGATATTAACTTTTGTTTCTATAAAATATCTTCTTTGGGACCAGCAGATAGTGTAATGGTCAATGTACTCCCACATGGCTGACCATGGTTCAAGTCCCAGACTTGGTAGCTTCAAACTCACACTGAGTGCATGTGCCTATGCGTCCAAAATCCCAAAGGAGAATGTAAGAGAAAGGATTGAAGTGGGGCCATCCTATTGCGTGAGGAGGGGATATCTCACTTTCTGTCTCTCTGGTGAATGCAAGCACCCTATAGGAAAAATCTCTCTTTATGAAAGAATAAGAAGGAGGAGGAGGAGGAGAAGAAGGAGGAGAAGAATAAGAAGGAGAAGAAGAAGAGGAGGAAAGAGAAAGATCTTCTTTGGGTTTTTGAAGTCTTAAAATATTTTAAAAATAAATTAGATATGCTCTGCCTTTTCTCATTTGTGTGTTGAATGAAGTGGAGATACTGAGATATGGATGGTAATACAGTTTAAAGGAGGATCTGCAATGGTGGCCACAAAATTTTGATTCAGAATAGAGAGATAATGATTATTCTCAATGAAACATGAAAAAGGACAATAGAAAAGCAAAATATTCATGCCAGCAGATAGCGTAGAGGTTATGTCACTGGTCTCCCACACAGCTAACTGCAGTTTGGGTCCCAGACCTGACGCCTTGAGACATGCTGGGCATGTGTGTGCGTGTGCCCGAGTTCTCGGCTAACTGCAGTTTGGATCCCAGACCTGATGCCTTGAGACACGCTGGGCATGTGTGTGCGTGTGCCCGAGTTCTGGGAGGAAATCAGAGAAGAGCTTATGGCATGGTCATCCCCCCTGTGGGGTATGATTTCTCACCTTCCCTCACTGTCTCTGTTTCTCTCTGGCTAGTGCACATGCCCAAAGGCAAAAGCCTTTAAAAAAAAAAATGGAAAATTTCAGTCTAGGTTAAGACTGTATAGTTGAAGCATAAAGTTCAAACTCTTACTCCAAAGAGTGACTATATTTTATAAAATAGAATAAAAAGTCTATGTTTTCAGGAAAGGATAATGAGATTAGGTTGCCTTTTTACTGTAATTTTAGAAGAAATGTCAAATGCAGAATATATACTCCTCTAAATGTAAGATCTGGCTGGTTAACAGAACACAATTAGTTTAAAAGGACTAACAGTCTTTCTTAATATTTTTTATAGAAACATTTTCTTCAAGTTGCACCATTTAAAAATCATAAAAGCTATCTTAAAGAACATTGTAAGTTACGTGCTAATCATTGTTTCTAATTAAGTTTATATACTATATACATTGACATACTTTCTATTTTTTTTTTTTTTTTGAGAGAGAGAGATTTTTGCTACAGGACATATGTGATCACTGGAGAGACAGAGAAAGAGAAATCACCTCCGAGGAGGATGACCACATCACAATCCCTCCTCCTTCATTCTCCTCCTGGGCTTTTGGAAATGCATTCACATGCACCCAGCATGAGTATCGGGCTGCTGGGCCCAGGCTCGAACTGTGGTCAGCCATGTGGGATCAGAGCCTTAACCACTACACTAGCCACTGGCCCCGACATACATACATCTTTAATATATAAAGAGAGACAGAGAGAGAGGAAGGGAGTCCAGTAAGCTTCAGTGCTGGGTTAGCCAGCATGCTCTCCCTCAGGATCTTATGGTTGAGTCTACAAAGCTGGGAGGGTAAGTAAAGTAGGAAGCATGCATGTGAAAGATGACAGACTCGCCATGCCCAAAGACCTCCGAAGACTGGAATCATGAATTGAGTCTAATAAGATACAATTTAAAAATAAAAAGATCCATAATGTTGTGCTAGATCCCTTCAAAACAACCGTAAATTTGTAGAAGAGGATAAACAAGGCTCACCAGGTAGAAGAAAACTCTTGTGGTCAAAAGCAATCGTATTCATGTTTTCTGACTCAAGCTCCTATTAAAACACCTGATCCAAAGCAGATCTATAATAAATTTTATTGAAATGATTTGGATCATGTTTAGGGAATTTTGCCAATTGTAACCCTAAGGAGTCAAGAGAAAAATGTGACCTAAAAAAAGTTTATGGGATCTTCTAATATTTTGATAGAAAGAGGAAGCATATAATCTTGTTTAGCTGTTTTGGTCAGAGGAAACTTAGTACTGTTTTTAGTCCTAGAACTGCTTTAAGAGCAGGTAAATATAATATGAATAGACCAAAAGAGGGCTATTGAAAAAACTCAGAGCTACATTTTATAAGAAACTAGAGGATGCTAATGTTTAACTTGGAGAAGAGACTACTCAGCTGCTTTCAAATCTATGAAGTATAACAGTGAGTGATCATACATAGACAACTGTAAGTGCTCTATTTATCTTATTTAATTCTGCTAACGGACAGACATATGATGTGGGTTATATTAATCCTGATTTGTAGCTATTGAGAAAACTGTCACTCAGTGAGGTGAAATAATATATCTGAACTCACAAAGCTAAAAAGTTACAAAATTATTTGACTCCAAGACCAGAATTGATTACACTGTACCTGTTTGTCTTTCACATAAAGTAGGCATGACCACTCTGTGGTTACCTGGAGATTAAATGAATGGCCGACAGATTTCAATTCAATGTGAGTGAATTGATACATGAGTTCAGAGGAGAATGTGTTTTAAGGTATTTTTATTAGTCTTTAAGAATACTCCTTTATTGCTAAAATTATATCCTCTAATGTAAAAGCATAAAAATAACACTGAACATTGGCAAAATAACTTATGATTGATACTGTCTGCCTATGAGTTATCTGTTTTTGAGACAAATGCCTAGTAATAATGTTGGAATTAAATGTTCCTTCCAGCCTTCTCCCTTTTTGTTCACCAAGAACGCAGTTAACTTTGTACAACCAGTTGGGGATATTTATTTCTAATGTTATGCTTTAAAGAGACATGCATGTGTGTGTGTGTGTGTGTGTGTGTGTGTGTATTAAGTATACACACGTATATACTGGAATTACTTACGAATTAGTTTTAATTCTACCAAAACATAACAAACTTAGTCATCTTGTATTTTAAAATTTTTTTTTCTAAAATAGCAGCGCTTGTGGACTCAGAAGTGAGTTACACAATTGAAAAGTCAGTGTTCCTCAAAGGCTTTGTCTAGGCTTCCTCCAGTTCCAGATATCTATGTAGATCCTCCTAAAATTTCTACACTAGAAAGCAGACTGAGGTAATGCATATTTCACTTGGTTTTTATAGCCTTCTTATCAGAAGCATGTGGCTATCCAGGAACTCTGAAGATCAAAAGGAGGAACAATTCCAAAAGATCTGTGAGAGTAAGGGAGGTGTGGAGGAGCAACATCATCTCTTCTTCACTTTATTTATGCCACAACCCCGGATTTCTGTAGGGGACCTTATGCCTCTTGCCCACTAGGACAAAATCAATATAGATGCAAATGCAGCTTTCAACCTAAGATAAATTGGGTAAGGAGGTGAAGGGAACAGGAATGGGGCTCCTCCACAAAAGTTCATATGTTTCTCGTTTGTTTCTCAAAAAGAAAGAAAGAAGATCTCTCTTGATTCACAAGAGGATTGGAAGTGTGAAATGCATCCTGACCATTTCCCAGATGTGGGGAAGCTGAAGCAAAAAGGACCAAAGATGCCATGCCCTGTCCCCTTCCACAAATAATTGCAGCAAACCTTAGGATGGATGGGGTGTTGTGTTTCTAGGGCTGTTAAGATTGCGACAGGCCAGTGTCTTTCCTGTTCAATTAGAAGGCTGGAAATAAGAGTGATGTCTGTCTTCTTTCTTATGTTTTGCTGCTGTCAAAAAAAAAAAAAAACAGAACTCTGTCTCTCTCCCCACCTTGTCTCCAACTCCCTTCCCCTGTTAGGCCCCTCCTCGGATGCATTCGCACAGCGGAGTGCCGGGGGAGGCGACCGGCTCCTTTGATCGCTGTGCGCAAAATCCTCCCCTGCCCTCTCCTCCCTCCCCGCCAGCCTGGGGCCCGCGCGGCCCTCCTCGCACTTCCCCGCCGGGCGCCTGCGGCTGGGGCTGTGCCTCTGTGCACTACTCATGTGGGAGGGGGCTGCAGGCAGCGCGTCTCATCAGATGCTCGGCTCCCGCCTTGTGCCTGACGCTCCTCTCCGGCTCCCGGGCCCTTAGCAGGAGCCCTGCAGAGGCCACAGGACGAGACCGAGGCGCGCGGAGCCGGCAAAGTCCGGGCGCTCTGGGTCCCCGCGCACCGTGGTCCCCAGCCGCTGGCAGCAACATGGACAGCAGCGCCGTCCCCACCAACGCCAGCAACTGCACCGATCCCTTCGCGCACTCTTCAAGTTGCTCCGCGCCACCAAGCCCGGGTTCCTGGGTCAACTTGTCCCACTTGGATGGCAACCTGTCCGACCCTTGCGGTCCGAACCGCACCGAGCGCGGCGGGAGCGATAGCCTGTGCCCTTCGACAGGCAGTCCCTCCATGGTCACGGCCATCACCATCATGGCCCTCTACTCCGTCGTGTGCGTGGTGGGGCTCTTCGGAAACTTCCTGGTCATGTACGTGATTGTCAGGTAAGAAGGGCGCCAGGGCTCTGAGCAGAGTGCGGAGGCTGAAAGAGGTTCAGAGGGACACCTAAGCCCAGAGAGAGGGGAGATAACCTGCCTCTCTCTCTTTTTATCTCTCGTTCTCTCTTTCTCATTTGATGAATCCAACATTTCAGGAACAGAGAAGTTGCTTTCATAGAAGCCATAAACCTGGTGGTTGGGAACAGGATGTTCTTCCAGTGAGTTCTCCCTTCTACAAAGCCAAGAGGGCTCTGGGCACATTATGCAGTGAGGTCCCCCTGCAGAAGCTATGGAAATAATAAGTTGTGGGGAAATGGGAGAGGAATTGTGATTAGTTTTCCCTCATTCTGGGGGCCCTCGTCTTCTCAGTTGTCCTAAGAGATGAGTCTTGGCAACTTCCCTACTGTTTCTTTAGGTGTTCTTTGCTGAACAACAGCCCCACCCCTTCTCCCCTGGTCACAGTATTTACCCCACTCTTCCTGTCATCCTGAGGTCTCACTAGGTAGAAGTTCTCTGGACACTTTTCTGCAGTAGTGTTACTTTGTGGCAACAAACACTGCCTTGCTCAGTTTGCAACTGGAAGCTGCTGGGTCACAAACTGCTTCTGAATTAGGTAGCCTGGTTCAGGAGAACTGCTGGACCGCACCATTCTTCCATGTCTCCAGAAGCTGGGACTAATTGGGAGTGACCAAAAGATGCATAATTCTGCCTTAGAAACTGTCACACAGAAAGTTATATAGGATACCCTGGAGGGGGGGGAGTCTTTGTCTTGTGATGTTGTTTCAAAGGAGTTTGTGGCCCACTTCCTGTGAACCCAGATGTTCCAGATTTATTTGGGAAATAAAGTAAGCTTTCAACATTAATTGAGGTCGATGTTGCACGGGTGTTGACGTGTATTCAAATACTACATGTGAGTATGAAGTATGACATATTCCCTTTTGTTAAAATAGATTAGTATTTTAACACTTGAAAATGGCTCCTGGTTTGAGCTTTTTCCATTTGGGGTACTATGTGTGTAGCAAATGTGGCATTTTCATATTTAATTATATTCTCGCTTCCCCTGTTCAGAAAGTAACTATTGCAGATTTCAGCGGGGCTCTTGAATCATTTTACAATCATTCACCCTATTATGCTTTTATTACTACAGCACTACAAATTGCTTGTAATCGATTCTTTCTACTTCTGTGTCTGATTTCTTTAATTAATGATTGTTAAGAGAAAAGCTTACTTCCCTGATCTTTTGATGAGTAGTGTCTCTGAGAAAAGAGCACCATCTATTGAGAAGAAAGCTAACAACAGAAGAGAAATACAGGAAGGGAATCAATGAAGGAAATTATTTTTTAAAACATTTGTTTTATGTCATCCAACAAAAGGTTCATATTAGTGATTTTAAAACCAAGTCTAATTCTGCAGTTGTGACGATCTAAAGCATAATTAAAGGCCTGCCTTATAAAGGGAAAATTTTCTCATTTTTTTCTTAAAAAAATAATCATAGCATCTTAAGTTCATAGAGGACCCAGAGATGCTCTAGGCTTGATGAGTAAACTGAGGCACCAAAAATATAGACAATTTCTCTAAGAACATGTAATTCATTAGTTCAATACTAGGGAATCTTTCTGGGTTAACATAATTTTCTGTTTATTAGAGTGGGAAATCATGACTGGAGGTAATGCAACTATTAGATTGACAGAGCGAGTTTAGCAAGCAGTAATAGCATGGGAATAACAAATTATCCCAAATTGATGTTTGGAATCTTAGTGAACAAAAGCATGAAATGGAAATTACCAAAGCCTCTCAAATCTTGCTATCTGAAACATAATCTTTTATTCTCTTTTATTGCTCCTCCTTGGAATTTTCCTTCCTCGATTTTCTCCCCTTTAGTTTGTGCTGTTCTATAACAAGAGGGCAGATTGAGCAGCAGCCAGCTGTGAAACCAACAGATTGGTTTTATTCCAGTGTTACAGAGGTTGCTGGGTGGCTTTTAAAGGCATTACGTCCGACCTCTTGTTGACTTGGAAAAAGATGGTGCCATTGCATCTTACTAAAAACGTGACATTATGCCTTATTCTCCGTGCTGAATGTTCTACAGAATGCAGTACTATTGGAAAGGTGACCCCGAACACCCACCTGTGGCAGGCTATATGTTCAATTCCAACGTCAGACAATCCTTTGGGGGTGTGACCATGAAACAGATAAATAGGTTTTTCTGTGACAGACGAAGAGATGGGGAAGCCGAAGGTTGAAGAAGGGGTACATATTTCACTGAGAGCATTTAAACGATTCTCTCCAGACTACAGAGCTTCAACTACAAAATGATCAGCTCAGGGTGTTATTGTGTCTGCTAAAATGGTGGGTGTAATGATGCATCTGTTAAAGTATTGAAAGGAAATGCTCTCCTCCTTCCACCATTTAAAATTCAACAAATACTATTGAATGGTCAAATATTTAGTTTTTTAAAGCAGATTAAGGTAGTATTTTTCACTATATTGCATGAATCATGATGCTCAAATGGCTATGGCAACAGCAACATAAAAATATAACAAGTGGTGGCAGAGGTACTGTCATCAATACTCTCTGTCTCCTAGCACCTCCATCCTCATACTTTCATCGAAAACATTATTAAATGGTTTAACAAGTGCGATTCTTACACAGTGCACTTTTAAGGAATCTAAGGGAGGACAAAAGATACCGTCATATACTCTCATCATTTAAAATCCACATGTATAAAAGACCACAGAGATTTTAGGGAAAAAACAGTGATAAAAATATTAGAGAAAGCAGGAATCTTTTAGAAGGGAATGATAATTTACTATTGTCAAGAACCTTAAAAATCTAAATCAAAATAATAACATACAAGCTCTTGTTTCAGAGCACATAATTTCTGTTCCTTTAAAATTACTCTATGTTATCACAGTAAAATCTGGTTAATAAATAGAACTCTCTCAGACCCATTGAGTACAGGTGTTTATAACTATTAGAATTTTTTTTTTTTTTTTTTTTGCTATAGGGCGCGTGGGCTCGCCAGACAGACACAGAGAGACAGAAAGCGAGAAATCACCCCGGGGGGGGATGGCCACACTGCAATCCCTTTTCCTCCATTCTCCTCTCAGGATCTTGGGCACGCACGTACATGAGCCCGGCGTGAGTTTAAGCCACCGGGTCCGGGAAGCAAACTGCGGTCGACTCCGTGGGAGTCCAGCGACATAGCCATTACACTAACTGCTGATCCCAACTATTAGAAATTCTTAAGAAAAATTCTAATAGTTAGAACTGTCAAGAGAGTTCACAAACTCAGCCTTTTTTTTCCCTCTAATTTTCTTTTTGCCTAGTATTCAAGAAAGGCCTTAGTAAGCTTTACTAAGTGGAGAGGGAAATGGTAACAGTCATACAGCATTTATTATACTTTACTGCTTAAGCTCAGGGTGATGGGAGAAGTCTGCTTTATGATATGTAAATAAAATTAAACCCCTCATGCCTTTTGACAAATTATTTGAGGCTATAAAGCCAAAGTTACACCCCCATTCCCACCAATTTTAAATGATATGATAACCTTAAGGATCTCTCGTGATAATTAAACTCAAGGAAATTTCAAGGTCCTCACAAGGGAGCTGAAACCACAGATCCCTGGGCAGCCCATGTGGTAATAATCAGTGAGCCTTCCTTAGCTAGCCTTTCTTGCTTCAGACAACCTTGTCTTCTTCCTTCCATTTTCTCAAGCTGAAGGCCCTGGAACCAAGATAAAATTTATAAAAGAAGAGAAACTTTGGCTTGGCTCAGAACCCCAAGTGCCCATCAAGGCTCAACTTTCAGGCATGTGTAACTGACCCTCCTCATCTTTAAAACATGAATTGGACTAATTTTCAGATCTCTTCTGGTTCTAAGATCTCCTATGGCAACTTGGATGACTGTTTCTTTATAATTTTGTCAGCCATACCATCTAAAGAAAAATAAAAAGTTACAATTTCTTTACAACTCCTTAGATTCTGCATGAGTTCAAACAGGTTCTGTCAGAGAGAGAGAGAGAGAGAGAGAGAACTGAGCTGCTAGGTGTTATGGTTATGGCCAAGTCAAAAGTGGAACTGAAAGTCACAGTGAAATCTCTGTTGAGTTACTAAGACAACGTAAGTGGGTTAAACAGGAAATGATGCACTCCCTCAATTTTACTATTTTCATTTTCATCAAGGAACCCACAGGTGAGGGACCCATGCTTGGATACAGATGCAGGGAAGGGAAGAAAAAAGGAAAGCCATCTCTTTATTATACAGAGCCTCAAACAAAAGGGCTCCTTCTGTTTTGTGGATCTGATGGAGGGCTGTGGGAAGGTTAAGAGCAGGGAAAGTACTAAGTGAAAGTGGAGAAGAATGTCCTCAAGGAATCCTAATAAGGGGGTCTCAGCAGAAGTGCCAGCAAAGGGTCTCACCAGGAACCCACAATAAGGAGGCCTCCAGTGCAGGTGTTTGGGCTGGGAAGCATATGTGGACCAGGGAACGGTTGGCAAAGGTGAGGAAGTGCTTCTCTCTTCCCCTGTTTCTTTAATTCACAGGACGCGTGCTTTAATACTCACCTGCGGGACCAGCAGTTAGCGTAATGGCTATGTTGCTGGACTCCCACGTAGTCGACCACGGTTCACATCCCGGACCCGGTGGCTTAAAACTCACGCCAGGCGCGTGTGCATGCGTGCCCAAGATCCCGAGAGGAGAATGGAGGAGAAGGGATTGCGGCATGGCCATCTCCCAGGGGGGTGATTTCTCGCTTTCTGTATCTCTGTCTGTGTCTGTCTGTCTGGTGAGCGTACGCACCCTATAGCAAAAACCTCTAAAAAAAAAAAAAAAAATAACCTGCAGGTATTACTCATCTTCTGGCTGTTATATCCCAAAACTAATACAGAGAGGCAGTGACTCTGCCAAATCTGATCAACTGTATTTTCACGAATGTGAGAGTTCTGAAGAGGAAAAGATCATTCTATTCTGGATATAAGTTTCTGTCCAGGCAAGAATTTTGTCAAG